ATAAATTAGTGATTGTAATAAGAATTGCAATAAATACATAATATATCAACAAATCAGTGTTTGATACAGTCCACATCCACAAGTGTTAAATTTTGACCCAACAACTTCAATTATCGAATGAGAGTTTTAATAAATTCTGCAAGTACGCAACATAAATACAGACTAACAATCGGTTGTTTATGAAAATAATTTCTTCAATATTTTGGTTATTAATTACTCATTGTCGGTCATTGATTAGTAACGATCAGTAATTAATTACTAACGATTCATCTTATTTTACTCGTAATCGGTCAATAAACGCTCAATCTATCATTTTTACTCATGATCGGTTATTAATTCCTTATGATCGATTATTAATTACTAACTATCGGTTATTGGTTACTAATGATCTATCTTGATTTACTCAAAATCGGATATTAATTTCATATAATCGGTCAATAATTACTAACAACCTGACATTAATTACTCATGACATTTGATTATGCATACTCATTATTGGCCATCCTACTTACTCCTGATATTCGCTCTTAATCAGTCACTTATTGCAAATGATTGGTCACTGATTAAAAGTGACACTGATAATCAGCGACATCCGTCATTGATTAACAGTGGCACTGATAATCACTGATTAATGTCACTGATTGACAATGATCAGCAATAACAAATAGTTAATATATAATCGATGGTATCTTGATAATTAATTACTAATAAAGGTTAGATTATTAAAATTCTCTGAATTACTCATTGTTGGTCATTGATTACTAACGATCAGTAATTAATTACTAACGATTTATCTTAATTTACTCGTGATCGGTCAAGAAACGCTCAATATATTATTTTTTGATTACTGATAATCGGTTATTGGTTACTTATGATCTATCTCAATTACTCATGATCGGTTATTAATTTCATATAATCGGTCATTGATAGCTAACAACCTGACATTAATTACTCATGACCGTTGATAATGCATACTCATTATCGGCCATACTATTTACTCCTCATCATTCAGTCTCTCTTACTCTTCTCAGTCACTTATTGCTCATGATTGGTCACTGATTAACGACAATGACAATCAGCGACATCCGTCATTGATTATCAGTGGCACTGATAATCAGCGGCATCCGTCACTGATTAACAATGGTCAGCAATAACAAATAGTTAATATATAATCGATGGTATCATGAGAATAATGAATGATACAAAATGATTATTTGAAAGATTTTCCGCTGCTTGTTTTAATAAATAGAACTGACTAAAAACTAGATTATCTGATTGACTAAAATCAGATAATAAATATGACTCCAAATAATATTTTAAGAAATGAGTACGTTTAGAGCACAAATATCTTAGAATATTAAAAAAAAATACAAGTGCTAGTGCAAATTTAACCTATTTTCCTTCCTATAATTATGTCTGAATTCATACCACATATATATATATATATATATATATATATATATATATATATATATATAGTCATTTCAAGGTGGTTTAATAATTATGTTTTATAGTCTAGTAAAATTTAAATATTTTTATTTATATATTTATATACTTTTTCTATAAGTTTGTATTCTTAATATTAAATTTGATATGTTTGAAAAGCTGAAAATGATCTAATTTTAATAGGCATAAGTATATAGTTTTTTTAGATATAATTATTTTAAAGTACGTTTATAACAACGTTATGATTGTATGCTTTCATAATAATTATGATACATTCTAAAGAACAATAACGTAAAGTATTGAAATGTACCTAAACTGTATCATAAAATGAGATCAAAATTTATTAACATTATATTAGATACTTTACTTTGGTTTTAATGGTAATTCAACCGAAGACAAGATTTTCGAAGCAATCCTTAAACTTAACTTTTATCAAAATTTCGTTTGATTAGAAAATCTTGCGTCCCGATGATTCTAGAAAACAATTCAATACTTCAACACATAATATAACACAATTTCAACAACAAATTAAAAATTAATTAATATACAGTTCATAACTTATAATACTTTTAGCAAGATCAATTTGATTTGTTTACCTTTGTATTTTTGCTCAAAAATATATGATCTGCTATCAACAGTTTAAGTACAATGTTTAAATATATTTCTATCACTTGTTCATAACTATCATAAATTTTAAAACGGGAAAATTTTACAAAGTATTGCTTAGTTTATATTTTTATATAGGTGAATGTAAGTTTTTATCTGAAGAAGACAACGATTTTTGAAGTCTTCACGAGCTATCACATAAAAATAAATCATTTTTCTTCGAATCAATATTTTCGAAAATATTTCCTAATTTTTATTTCCACACATATATTCATCACGCGGGTGAAGACTCCATAAACAAATATATTTAATATCCCTAAGATTATTTATATAGGTACTTAGATTTTTTATTTAAAATTGACTTATACTATCATTACATACTATTGACTACTAATATATAATTAAAAATATTTAATTTATTTATGAATTGTGTCACAAATACCTACAGAATGTATTTTCTATAGTGTTTTTTTAACTGTGTTAAGAATAAAAATAGTGGAGCCAAAATATGAAAACCATTATCGAATTATGTTTAAATAGTAATTGAAATCAGAAATATTTTAAAGGACTAGATATAATCATAAAATAACGATTAAACTAAAACGTATACAATAGTTTAGAAGATAATAAATAAAATACAAAGTATATATTTATAAAGACGACAAATGTAACAAAAAACAAGTTATGTTTTCTAACAAAACGATATTAGCATAAATCATTTTTTTATATATCTATATATACACGACGCTCAACATTTTCTTGTAATACGTTCTGATTCTTATTTAATTCTTATTAGATTCTCATTATAAGTTCCAATAATGTAAAATCATATTGCCAAATTTTTTTTACGCATCAACTCTGTTGTCAAACTGGAATGTTTCTTTTTTCCAAATTTTGCAATCGTCAATTGAAATTTTACTAAATTTAAATTTCTCTTAAAAGAAGTAATAATAATTTACGACTCTCTCAAATCAATTTTTAAATATTTATTTTATATTTAATTTTTTTCTTATTACCGTTTGTTCCAATATTATAAATCATTACTACTAAAATATTTTTTTTATTTAGTACCTGAATCAATTTTTTTTTAACCAAAGTAAATAATATAATTTTATATCAAATATGATCGAGAAAAATACTTTTTGACGCCTCTTTTCAATACTTTTGATAAGAATATATTTCTTTTTAATTGATGATGGAAAATTCAATTTCGTCAATAGAACGATAAAATGTATTGCTAACTAATAAACTTACTAATAAAATTTGCAATTATTGCAAATCCTTCGTATCATGATAACTACTTTAAAAATTTAAAATAACTTAATATTCGAATTTATTACTAAAATCAACAATTTATTAACAACGTTTTCTCTAAATCGGTACAATGTAGCATTATAAAGGTGCTTTCACACTTGACAAAATAATGCTGTAGCACTGCCTAATATAATGCTCCAACGAATTTTGCGATTAAAGCTGTTATTTTTTTAAAAATTAATTGATAATTGCCATAACAAATATATACTATATAACTAGTAATATAATTTAAATAATATTTAGATTATGTCCCAATATAAATATTAAACGTAATATTATCGGAGACCAATAAATGCACAGTAGGATAATGACTTTTAAATAATATTCGAAATATATTGCTTAAGAATCATTTGACGTGATAATTAATTAGTAAAATATATTCTTTTAGGTTTTGTTAATGATGTCTTTAGCTTTAATTAACATTGCACGATATCTCTAGAAATAAGATACCTTTTATCCCTTTAAGATAATATCATTGCACTGACATTTATTGCTTAGACCTATGTAAATACCAAATTATATTTGGATAGATAGAATTAATATTTATATTAGTAATTGTTTATTCGACACAATATTATTTTGAAAATCAGTTATTCAGAATATTAAACTATTATTGTATAAATGGTTAAACCAGGACAAACCGCCAAGTCAATTTCGAAACGAATTGCGTCGTATCAAAATGTTTTCGGGTTTTGTCGTATCAACTTCGGTCGCATCGTTAGGACACGATCTGGAATCGAATCGAATTATATCAGCAAAGTCTAAAGAAGAGTCGTATTAATACAATCTGAAGTTGTCTCATGTTAATCTCGTCGTATTAATAATGTTGTTTCGAATCAAATTGAGCCAAACTTTCAACCGAAGGTTGCAGTCGTAATCGTCATATCTCACTAGTAATAAGTTTTCAAATTAATTTTTGATTTTATTTGCTAATATAATTTAAGGTGTACAGATTTTGATAAAATAGACCAGAAAATAAAACCAAAATGCTATACATCAAATCTAAACAATTAATAAAAAGCAGTAGAATTTCTTTAAAATCAAATAAAAAGATAACTTGGATTAAAGTACACCAGTTTGAAAATACTATTTTTTTGGAATTAGACAAAACGTTTTTTTGAGTTGTGGAAGTAGTTCATACAAATGCTAAAAATTGTTCAAAGCCAATTCCAAAAGTTTTAATAGTTAATCAATTTTTAACCTAGATTTCTTTCTATTTTTTGAACAATTGATTCAGCAACATCTTAGTTCATGTTAATATTTTAACAAGTTAACAACCTTACCCAAGTTAATATTTTCAGAAAAACAATATCGAAGTTGAGATCTGTGAACTGCAGAAACAAAATTTTATGAGCTGAGTAACTATTTTTGCTGTTTATTTCAAAGTTCTGTTTTTATTTTCTGGGCTTTGAATCATTGTGTCAAATCTCCAAGTACGTAATAAATATATGAAGTATATCGGTCAAATGTCTAATTTAAAATTAAATGCATTTTGGTAAATAGAAGACAAAATTTAGCTAACTAAACTAAAAACTTTTTAATACTCTGATTGTCTTAACCTTTTTTAATAAAAAATAAATGCTTTAAATAAGTCATTTTAAAAACTACCAACAATTTTATAAACATAAATGTTTCGTTGCATTCGTTTACATTATTTCATTGTTATTATTTAAGCATATCACATAAAATCACTCCAAAAATCCAAATCGTCCTGAAGTGAAGATTCTTCAGGATTCATTGCGCCGTGCTCAGTGCATCTGTATTAGAAAAATTTTCACGACTTGTTACAAATTTTCAAGAATTTTATATTGAATATTAAAGCGTGATTGGATGATGCTATTGAAGCCATGCAGGTGCTATTAAATAATGCTAATAGATAATGATGGAGTATTCTATAAAACAATGAAAATTGTGGAACTACCAAGCAAAAAATAAAACAACACTACTATGGGAATCCAAAGCAACGAATGTTGAATTTGCCCTTTGAGTCAGGAAAATATTATTTATGGATATTTGCAACAAAAAACATTTGGTAAGATGTGATATTAGATAAATAATAAATAATTTGAAATATAAAATAAAGTAATAAAAACCTAGTCAAATATGGAAGCCATTTCTATATAATTTCCTGTCAAAAAATGATTCTACGTATAATAAAAAGCACGACACAAAATAGATTACCAATGAAAATTTATGTTTGATATTTCAAAATAATATTTTTGATCATCACCATTATAAACAACAATACAGAAGTGCAAATTGCTCTCTCTAACCAACATTGAGATTGCTGAATCGGTTTGCCAAATCGTCAGAAATGAATTTGCATTTTAAGCATCAATTTAAGATCATTAATCATGATAGACATTAAGTTAAAATTCCTTGTTTTGCGTCGGATGTTTAAAAATAGAGAAAGTAACAAATAATATAGATACCCCTTAAATATACGGTTTATAAAATTGGGTATTAAATATGAGAAAAAGCAAACAATTATGGATTATCGCATTTTATAGACATACACAGAATAATTTTAAGGTGTATTAGAATACATATTTAAATAGATATACAGGCCAATTCTACTATGAAACAGCAAATATATTGCATTTTGACAGTTTTTAGTTCAATTTTTCATGAAGAAAGATCCGTAACATAGCGTTGCCATAACAACGATGTTACCGACTATATTATACTTTCTTATTTGCTTGATATGAGCTGTATCTTAGAAAAAACAAGAATATAATGAATCAGTATTGATTCCTTATTCTACAAGACTTTGTTATACTTCATCTTGCCACTATAGATTAAATTAATATATATGAAATTATTTTTTTAAATACCAGGTATTCATAACGTTTAGAAATTGCTTTTCTATCTAATAACATTGTTGTTATTTCCGTATTTTTTAAGTTATGGCAAAAATATTTTTAGTTTTGAATATACTAGAAAATATTTGTTATATACTCGTATGTAAATAACAAATGCATTTCAAATTTAAATTTTATGCAACACTTTGAACGAATAAAAATTAGCCAATAACTAACTTTAATGCACATTGTTGCGTCATACTTGAACTTATTAATTATTATATAGATTTAAAGAAGGGTGAAATTTCGTTCTGAGTTGTCTGGAGGTATGTCGTCAGAACAACATATTAAATTCATTTGTCTACGACCTATTGAGTAGTTGGTTAATTTTCGTAAAATTAAAAAAATAAAACAGTAACTAATGAACCAACCCCTGCACAATATGCAAAAATGTTAAAAACTGTTATGAAAAGCGCATGCATAATATTTGTGACAAACTTTAAGTGAATCTGGAAATCGATGTAAAATGCATACAACAAAATAATAATTACACAATGACTAAAAGAGCGAAAAAAAACAATAATAACATGGAAAAAATAAAATTATAATAAAATCCTACCTGTTTGGATCTGTGGTAGGCGGAAAGGTGTCCACGCGAGGGGGCGACCTTTGGAGGGCAGCCTGGTAATCCGGCTGGGCCGACTGCTTCTCTCTTTCGGCTCGTTCTTTCTGCAATCTACAATTGATAAAATTGTTTAAAATAATACAAAATCATATGAATAATACTTTAAACATTCAAATCTCAAAAAATTGAATCAAAACGTTAATCGCCCTGTCAGTAATATGTGTTCCACATGAACCATGAGCGACACATATGTCTCACATACACGGTTTAGCAGAAGGAGCAAAAAAATTTAATAGTTATTGAAGGCCATGTCAGTCAAAAGAGTGCAACCAGGCATTGACAAAAAAATTTTCTTAATATGGAATTTTTCTTTCCTAAGTTTTCTTGGAACACTTTGAACTAAATTATCTAATAAAGTTACCATGGTCCACATGAAAAGTTTTCTGATATCATCGCGGCGACCAACGTGTTGAAAAAACTGGTATATTAAATTGAAAAGGTTCGAAAAAATATTTATAATAATTAATTAAAATATTTTCATCATTTGGAAATATACTTACTGTAGTTTGAAAACTTCCATCCCACATACTGAAGGAGCAATAAAATTTGAATAATGAAAATTTTTAGTACACTCATATAGTAACCATATATTAAAAGCTATCTTATATATGAATATCTACCGTATTTATTTCAAATTACTTAAAAATACTGTTGGATCTAATTTATTATATTATTTCAAGAGTATCGACATCAAGAAATATTCACTTACATATTTTTTGATTGTCTCATAAACTGCTGAATTTTTCTAGCTGCCTGATGTTGCCTTCTTTGTGAATATGTTCGTCTAATAAATAAATAAATAAATGCCATAAAGAAAATGCCAATAAAGAACACATAATGTACAATAAGTACCGTTGAATTAAATTTTTGAACAATTTTCTAATACTAAACTAAAAATTCCTAAAAATAATTATATGTGGATTTGATATCTATACGCAATTATTGACAATACATATATTATACAGAAAGACTAAAAATATACAAATTTCAAAAAATATAAAAAATTAGAAATAGTTTATTAATTATTTTAATTCTAATTTTTGAGTTGTGTAAATTTACAATTTAAATAAAATAAATGTTTCCTTTATACTTACTTCAATCCAGTGCCGGACGGAGTAGTTTCGCGAGTAGTTCCTGCACTTTGAGTACGGCCCTGATCTCGGTAGCTTCTATAATAGTTTTGAATGCAGGAAGCAGCTTGCTGATTCTTCTTAAATCGTTTATATTCGCAATATGAACGAAAACCGTTCTGTATCACCAAAGCAGCTTGAGTCATTTGCTTAAAATAAGCATACTGGAATAAAAAAATAAAAAAAATTAATTAATATTGCCTAAAAAATTCAAATTTTTAATGATGTTTCCATAAGACCAAATGCTAGTATATCAATTCAAGCATTAACTGCATCAACTTTCATTATTTTAAAAAATATGTGTGAAGATCAATGCAAGAACTACAAGTACATATTGGTCGTATTTTTTTGCTTCATAGCTTTATTACCTGTTTATATCGTCTGTAATAGTTTTGAATAAGAATAGCAGCAGCACGTTCCTTGTCCTGTTCTTCCAGTTTTTGACGTCCTTTATAGATTCTGTAAGCCTGCTGAATGGTTTTTGCTGCTTCATATAATTCACGTTGCTCGCGATCTGAACAATATAATAAATTATCATAATGTAAATATTCATATTAGTTAAGATTCCATTCCATTAAAAAATAAAGAATATTTGTAATATTACAATTGTGTATATCGCAGCTATTAGGGAAATAATTCTTCATAATTTAAAATCAATTACATTGTAGATAAAAATGTGATTTTACCGATTTATAAGAAGAGCGAAATAAGTGTATAAAATTGAAATGTACTAAGCAATTTTATAAATTGCATATACATGTAATAGCTCTAAATTATTTAAAAACTGCACATTAAGTTCTTGTCAGCTTTAGAGTTTCATATTTTTATTATACCTGAGAGAGTCAGTTTATTAAAATCTGATTCAAAAGGTCCAGCATGCAAAAAATCGCAATGATCTTGCGTAGTTGGAGGTGGTGAAGGTGAATCCAATGTAAATGAAGCTGGACTCTGCAGGCAACTGCTGCTGGCAGGACTTAGGCTTGAACAAGGTGTACCAGCATCGTAATACCTAAAAAATATTTGTACAAAAACCATTGTTTTTTATAATTTTTAATTTTCTTAGATTTTTAAATTTATTACAAACCTATAGTTATGATCGGAATGTTCAAAATTGAATTCTGAGTGATCAGATTGTGATTCTAATAAAGGTTCCATAAAAACATCTCCCAGAGAATCGGATGGACTAATCCCGCCGCAGGGTGATCCCAGGTGCATGTCTTCTATTTCATTCTAAAGAAATTAAAATTCAAATTAATTATCAGATATTAAACAAAACTTATGTAGTTTTTATCAGATATTTGCTGGACGGTTCATATTTTGAAATTGTTAAAAAAAATTACAACCTGGTTACGAATGTAAGATACATGTTTTTTTCTTTATAATATTTATAAATAGTAGTAATAGCAATAATAATTTTGATTTTAGTAATGACTATTAATAGATAAAAAATCTTTGACAAAAAGATGTAATTGTACAGATTAAGTAATATTTTTGTCTAATATTTTTATCTACCTTGATTCTTTCTGGCATCGCTGCGATAATTTGTTCTGCTAGGGTCAATACTCTCACGTCAGGTTCCCCTAAAAATTAAAACAATTTAATTAAATTGTTTCAAGAAATCTATTATCAAACATTACATATAAATTATAAAGCTATACATGAAACAAACATACTTTAACAATATCAAACTGTACAGCCCCATAAGCTACAAACATCAGCCGACATGTTAAGTTTAGGAAAGCCAACAAATATTTCATAGAAAAATGTTTTTCAAAAACCACCACCAAGTTACACCCTCAATTTTAATGATAACGCTGAATTTATTATTGCAATAACAAATAAATGATTAATCTTCAGTTAAAAGCAACTTTTTCTGTTTTTTTATTTTTAAACAGTTTTATATACTTGCTATTTGTATTGCATTTCTCATGAAAGTTGAAACTTTTAGTTATCTTGATTAACAAAAGTTGAATATTGACAATTTTCATTATTTTAAGAAAAATGTTACAATAAATAATCAAACTTCTTTATATCAAACTATCTTTATATCAATAATTTGCTCTAACAGTAATTATATGCTAAAATAATTGTTATAGGCGTCCTTGTTATTATTCACGTAATAATAATGAATTCAATTTTCAATAATGTTTCTTAGAGTTTAAAATAATCAAGTTTGGAAGTTAAATTCTTTAAAAAAATATTCTCGAATTTATATTCAGCAAGCAAGTGATTTAGATCCCGATGTCTCTAGAATTCCAATAATTACGCATATTAGCAAGATTTAGTAAACATTTTGAACTCATAGTACAAAAACACACGTATTGATATTCTACTATATTTTGTCTCCAAACTAAAATTTTCAAGTGTGGGAAAATGTTTGATGTATGAGAATTAAATTTGGTAAAAACTAATACTACTTGAATTATTAATTTTGCCCAAAAACCAATCTCTTATAAATTGAATATCCAAAATATTAACCAACTAAAATTAATAAGTATCAAGATAAAAAAAACAGTTTGTTATATATTTCCTTAAGTATGCATGCCATCGCAATACTTTATCTACACTAAAACAACTACTTACTTACTTGTGTTTCTATCAATTTAATATTATTGAGAGTTTGTTTGTGAGTATTTTATATTAAAATAATGTATAAAGTGTTCATAAGCAGTGGCGTATGAAAAATCTACAGTATTGTGAGACAAAAATAAACAAAATATAAAATCATACATACCTCTATATTGCGTGTTAATAAAAGTATACAACAAATGCGACCACAACATGTAAATTACAGAGACAGATGGGAGCAGAAGAAACGATGTTTAATCATAGGTAAAACAGCGAAAGTACAGATACACAACACAAAACCTCTCGACCTCCACAATGCCAACATCAAAAGATTCGACACTCAGAAAATTCACGAAAAATAACCTCAAATAATACTTTTGAATGCAAAACATCTATATTAATAATCTATTCTAAGTATTATTTTCGGTTTTTGCTATAAACCAAATTTGTTTGGTGTTTTTCGAGCCTAAACTTGCCTACGACGTTAGAGTTGCTGGCTGATGAGCAGCCAGCCTCCTGGTTAGAATTTTCCTGGTTAATTTTGCAGCCTGCTTCATCGGAAGATAGATTACGGCTTGCTGGCTCGCCTGCATAACGCATACGATTCAATATAAAGAATATAGTAAAAAAATATTATTTTATTAAAGAAGTTTGCTTAATGTCCCTTTCAATAATTACTTATAAAGATTCTTCGATTTTTACAATAAATTTTAACCTGAGCAAATAAATATGCTAATGTATTTGTTGTTTTTTAATTAAATACTTTAATAATTTATTTCGGCTCCAGATAGTTATAGTTTATTATTATAGGCTATGTGAAACCATCATCTGATAGAAAAAAAAGAAATTTCCAATTTTTTAAATATAATCCTCCGTTTAATATCAATTGTCTCCTTAAAATAAGAATGGGATCAAACTACAAGGTAAGAACTTCATATGTTAGAATATATAATTTATAGTGATTACTAGCAAAATAATGCAATAAATATTAAATTGTGAAATAGCCGAATTAGAAAAATTATCACTACATATGCAATAAGAAGTAATAAAATCGAGTAAATTCTTTTAAGTAGTCGACGTGCAAAAAATTTTGAAAATAAAAGGAAACAAAAGGTATAAAATGCTAGTATCGAAATCTTACCTCGTTTGGTATATTATAATACGAACCCTTCGCTAAGAAATATGTCACTAACTTTAAGCAGTAATAATTTATAAAACATAAATTTATTCTAATTTGTTATATTATAATGTAAATTATTAATTATATATTATCCTAGCAAAGGATGCGAATCATTTATAATTCGTATTTCAAAAATCATATGATGATAATTAAAATTTGTTAATGAAATGCGTTTCATTCCACGTCGAGCTTTTGCTACATAAGTAAATAAAAATAATAAAATAGAAATCATGCAAAAACTCACAATGAGCAAAATCATTTTTCTTAGACGGCGATAAGGCGCTCTGCAGATCTTGCAACGTTTGTGGAAAATTTGTGTTCACTGGTAAAGACATGCTTCTATCAAATCTGCAAAGAAAATAACATGAAAATATAATCATTGATATAGATCAATCGGATTTATTGTATGTAAAAATATTTTATACCTAGAAAGTTTATTTTCTCTTGTAGTTTTGCCTCGAGGTCTGTCTGATGATCCTAATCCGATGCCACTATCTACTGATGGCCTTTTAATTAATCGAAGAGATCCACTGGCTTGACTTCTATCAGAATTACTACTTAGTGATGCACTAAAAATTAATTTTATTGAATGATGTATAGAACAATAGCAAAAATATACCTTGGATACAAAAGCAAAATTACAGGTGTATCAACTATGACGAACAAATCTTCAAATATTGAATTTGTAGAATTTGTGCATCTTTGAAGATCATTCATCATAGTGAGTTTTAGATCAGTAGTAAAGGCTTACAAAAAAATTAGAAAAATAATACAAATGACAATCAATTTATAAATTATACCTAGATACTGCCCCAGGACGCAAAAATACTCCGTCATGAGAACGTGTTGAAACCGGCGAAAAAGCACTATCCTTTATTCCCAAATGATCACTTTGAACACTCAAGGCATCCATACTATTCATAGTAAAATCATTCAAATTCATCATCTGAGATTCATTATTTGGATTCTGAATGTTATTTTGAGTTGTTTCTCGTGCTCTCTCCAGGCGTTCGATCTCCTCAGCAAGTTGATGGAAACTGAAGAAATATTTAATAAGAAGTACCTAATATATGAAAAAATAAATAATTTTTATTTCAGTTATTTACTTATTTTTTCGCGCAAGATCTAACGGTGAAAGTGACGCTGTATTTCGAATATAGAGTGCAACATGATTCCAACGGTAAAGAATAATTGCTGTCTCCATGTGACCTCTTGAACAAGCCCATGCCTATAAAATAGGTTATAAAATATAGTAGGAGATGATGTAAGAATTTGCTGTGTTAATTACTGGAAATGTTATTTTATATGCTTGTTAAATTTACATACCAGGGGCGTGTAACCATGATCATCCCTGCTCAAAGCATCGATCTCAGTATCCAAAAGCAATGAAGAGTTTTCTGTTCTCCAGTGCAATAAAGAACAAACTAATCTGCTATAACCTAAAGCAGCAGCTAGATGTAGTAGAGTCATTCCTATAATATAAAGTATTAATTATTATCAAAATGACAATTACTTTTATAGAATTTATATTAGTTGTGTATATCACAGGTTACCTTTATGGCCACTTAACCAGGAACCAGCCTGTGTGTCACCGCGCCACAATCTTTTGGACAAATTTTGACAATAGGTAACTAGCCTGTCTTCAAAGTTCGTTGATGATAGTAATGCAGAATCCTCTTGCTGAATAATAAATTAAATTTGAATTGATTAATGAATGATCGAGTGAATCAAAAGTTATCTTATCTATCAAAATTAAAAGTTTATTACCTGCTCAGGTTTTTCTCTTTTGATCTGCATACGATCGTCAAGAGCCTCCAGTCTATGTAATAACGAAAACTTTAATAGACCTTCCCCGCCGTTATTTCCTGTAGATTCAGTTTCTGTTTCCGTTTCTGGTTCTGGAGCAGCACGGGCCTCTCTCGGAGGTAATTTGTATTCGAACAATACTGAATCTGATATCACAAAACCATCACAAGCCACTTGCAGTGATGCTAGTCCTGCTTCGTGGGCTAAAATATTAATTTTCCAAAAAATCAGATAAAAGGCAAATGGTAATATAAGAAAAAGGACCCGGATCATCCTCCATCATCATACATATCTCTAAATAGTTTATAATTTTTTTAAGTAATTGAACAACTATATAAAGACTTTGTCTTACCTGGACAATAACATCGAAGAACACCACTTTGTACAAGTGTAGTTGGAACTGGGAACGAATCAAACAGAACTGTATATGGTGAACTTGTAGAATGCCATGGACCTGTTACTAGAACCTGCCAAACAATAAATCAAACAAATATTGATATAAACCAAATTAAACTCACACGAAGACACATAATTCATTTATCATATTGTATTATGTAAAATTCACCTTAACGCCTCCTTCTGGATAAGCCCATTCAGGTGAATAATCAGTAATACTGGCAGAACCTTCACGAAAATCAATAGCAGGCGGAGAACGTTTATCAACACTAATTTCATTCTGTTGGATGAAATATTTGATATACATAAAAAAATCAAAATATGAATTTGGAATTTTGATTTCAACTAATTTACCTGTAATATTGGATGCCTAACAGTTGCATCTAACACCTCTAGATCCGGAAAGTCTCCTAACATATCAAATGCATCTAAATTTACAAAAACGTCATCATCAGCAGTATCACCTGGTGAGACCATTACATCACAATTTTCAATAAAATCCATAGGATTTATTTCTGGTGTATCTTCTATATCATTGCTTGGCGCAGTATTGGTGACTACCGTTGAAGCAGCTGAAAAGATTGTTTTCAGGTTAAGCAATAAGCATTTCCTCATTTTTTGTACTCTTTGTTTATATTGAATCATTTATAAATTTTAATTTTGATTTACCATTAACTACGTCCGAATCCGAAGGACAACGGGGCATATTTGCACTCAAAGTCCTTTGAATGTCTTCGTGTGAAAGATCCAAGGTTTCATCGAAAAATCCATTAACATCAGTAACGCAAAATTGCTGTTGATGTTGTTGATTATTCTTTTGTTCATTTTTATTTCCAGTATTCACAAAGTCTGTTGGAGCACTTTGATGCCGTTGATTTCTTGTATGTTGCTGCTGGTTGGCATTAGCGTCTTCTGGTCTGGAGCAAGTTTCCATTGCTTCGACTTTCGGAACAATCTGAATAAAAAAATAATTATAATAATTCCAAATTTATAAACACATATTAGTTAAATCAGTATGTTGAATCAAAACAATGATTTTTTTTCTTACCGTTGCTACACCTTTCCGAATATTCAAAAATGCATGGTTAGTCTGCTGATTCGTGATTTGTTGCTGATTTGCTGCCGTTTGTTGGTGATGGTGCTGCTGGATATGATGTTGCTGCAAAGTGGCAGCCGTAGTGTTAGCCTGATGATGATGGTTATTGAGAATGATTAACCCGCCAGTTCCATGTATCTGCGAAAGGCTAAGAACTAACGGTGGCGCCGCACCAGTATGTACTGCTCCTCCTTGGTGACCAGCATGCTGCGTGGTAACCAGACGCGCTTCCCTGATGGCATGATGATGGAAATTATGATTCAAATGTTTGCTAAGAGAAATTGGAGAAAAAAAGTAATTAAAATACAAAAATAAAACATACTAAAAGAAAAAACACAGGGCATTTAATAAAGTAATTAAATATTTAAGGATTTAATAAAATAAATAAATTAGCACTTGTGTAAAAACAAAAGAATATTAACATAAACCAGATAAATACAAGGTGACTGAAATATCATTGAATTAATTTAAGTATATAGGCAATAAATAAAAACATGGTTTATTATGAACTCGATTGAAATTCTTATGATGTAAAATATCAATCCATTCATTAAAATTACCAATATTAGAGATAAAAAGAGGTACAATTGTTATAGCCAATATCCGCAGTATTTCAGAAAGATAAGAAGTATTGACTACTGAGTTTTTATAAGAAATTTCTACTAATATTTGTTTATAAGTTAACATAAATTTTAGATTAGATTTTATATTTGATTATTGATATTTCAAAATAAGATGGTAAGTATTTATCATTGTTATGCGCTTAGAAAAATATTTATATTTCGAAACAGTAAAGTTACCAAAATATTCACAACCAAATTACAGATTTATAATATAAAAAATAGTCTGAGCTTCTGAATGAATAATCAGAAATATATTGCAATTATCGTTAGAAGAAGAAATAAATTTAAAAAACGCCTAGAATAATTACCTAGCATAAACTCTCTGCTGGTGATTATTTGTATTTAATAACATCGTTCCTGTAGTTGAAGACACCTGAAATAAAATAATAAATCCCATAAGTTATATCAAATGATACCATAAATTGTCTATGCAGATAATAAGATATAGAAAAAATAACTAGAATTTGTGAATAATTATTCATTGTTCATAATATAGAAACAAACTCATCAGTCATCCAAATTCACTAACAAACTTCTTACTAATAGAAAACTATCGTCGTAGATTGAAAAAAAATCGCCACTTGATTTAATTCATCAAATTTTCTGATGAGAATTGAAATAACTTAATATATAATAAATTAGTTAAATTTTTATTATTATCATTAAAATATTGTTAATATTATTTATAGCAACTGGAGGAACAACTAAATGTCACTATATTATACAATGTCCCTATTACGGCTGACAATTGTAAATTCCATAAATTTATCAAATGTCCTTAACTGGACAGTTTAAATATAGTAGTGATTAAAAAAATAATAATAATATTTGCAAAGACACAATTAAACCAATCAATTTTGCAATGTTGAATATTTATTTCTCGATTATTAATTGTCCATACAGCTGCTTCAAAATCATTGCTTCTTAAAATTAAAGATAGTCGAACGCCCAAGTATATATTCCATCCTCAACTGAGTTTACTTCAGAAATATCTGAATTTTTAAAGGCCAAATTAAAAATTAAAATTGACAAAATGGCGGCATGTTGAAAAAAAAGGTTAAATTTTTCCCAAAATTTTGGTCGTTTTTGGCCTGCCAAAATTCGATTTTTGATCAGATCAAAAAACTGGAGGATCATCATATGGAAAACTATATAGAGAAGATGCAAAAAAAATTTGATAGCGATCGGATCATTTGTTTCCGAGTAATCATTCCAGCAAATTAAAAAAATGCTGTTTCGAAAAAAACGCGTTTAAAGATAAAATTATCGTTTTACTATATACTATATATATACTCTTTTAAATAACTGTAACTCAAAAACTATTTAAGATATCGATTTGAAATTTTAGTATGTTATTTTTAAAGGTATAAAATATATGGAAAAAAATAAATTTCGATTTTTTAAAAATTTCACGCTAGGTGTGCCCCTTAAATCAAGTAAAGTGAACAGAGTTTGTAATCTAATTTAAATAATACGACAAATTTTTTCCACAAGACGTATTGAACATAAGTATTTTATTCATATATGTTGGTCAAATGGTTTTGGAAGATTCAAAATAGGTCCACAATTTAAGCAGAATATACTAAGATTCATGAGTTTCATTTTCAATTATTATTTCTATTTAATTAAGCTGTATATCTTCGCATGTTACTGTCATTAGTTTCAAAATGATGAAAACATTGCATTCATATAACTATCACAGCTGTGTGTAGACTTTGCGGTAAATGATGGTACAGTAGAACCTCGATTATCCAGATCTTAGTTATCCAGATTCGCGATTATCCGGACTACCAACCGCGACAAATTTATATGCATGTACAAACCTATAATCTGAATTTTTGCACTAATAATGCTTTTTTGTATAGCGAAGGAAATGCCTTTATGCATCCCATACTGGTCTTTTGTCTGGGTATGTCGGACTCAATACCGCTCTGGTATAAAACTAACTAAAACTTCCGCTTTGCCCTTGCCTCTAGTCCCCACGGAAACCGCCGTTAGGCATTACTTTGTGAGGGGAGGATCTAGAATGTTATACTTCTAACTTGTTTTATACTCATCTTTTAAGTGGGCGGAGTCCCATGCGTCATTTTTCTTCAGCACTATTAATGCTGCAGTTTAGTATATGTATGTAATGTAATCTAAGCAAATATATATAAGGAAGTTTCAATATTTAAAAAACATTATTTTTGTTGACATCTATGTATGTATGCGTTATTTTTAATAAAAACATATTATTCTTCATACATTTGATTATCCCTATTTTCGATTATCCGGATGCCTATCGACAACAATTTGTCCTGTTAATCGCGGTTCTACTGTATCTATATTTTCATACATTAAAATAGTTTTTATAAACTTTGTTCCAAAGTGTTTTTCACCTGATTATTATTATCCGAAGCACTGACATTATTCGTCCTCGATCCACTAGCTGCAGATGATCCGTGGCTTTTCGACTGATCGACCGCATTTGTCTGGCTGCCACTCTGACCGCCAGTCGCCAGCGTTCTCCTGTTTGTTGTACCGCTGCCGGGAACAGTCGGATGAGAACAAGATTTGCCATCGGCGCAAGTGGAGTCCGGACAACCGCATTCGAGTTGGCGAACGAGGGCGGCTTGTCGGGCCAAACGTTGCCTTTCCATCAGTTGACCAACTATTGTTTCGACGGTCTCAGCGGTCTATGTAGAATAAAATAGAAAGATTAAATAGAGATACCACAATCTACTTAAAGACTAGTTTTTTTTTTATTTTTACGTGAACCCAGATATTGATATTTTGTTGCTTGAAATTTCGATATGATTGTTAAAAAATTCATGAACTTCATTACTCATTCTAATAATTTGATAAAGAATTTTGTTCTTAAGTACTTTAGTTGTTTTCTAATAACATGGCTTTTGAAATTTGATATAGTTTTAAATATATACTAACATTAGAGGCAGAAAATCGTAATGATATAACCATATTATATAGCGGATATCTAAAAGATTAGAAATATCATAAAGATCTGAAGTGATTCATATTTTTTTGAAGAGCAAATTATCAAATTTTCTATGTTTGCTTATAGTTTATCTAAAATTCAATATAAGGCCACAGAATATTTCAAAATATTTACAATTTATTGACAAAAAATTAGGTATTTACTTAGTTCTTTGCATATTTTTTCTATCCGAAACAAATGGCAGTTTTTATAATAATTTGAATAATCTCATATCTAAAAATGAATCGCAAAATGTATTGGTAAGCGCATAACTCAACAACGCTTGGACCAATATTCAGCCAATTCTTTTTTTAAAATGTTCGTTGAAGTCCAAGGCTGCTTCTTACGGCGAGAAAAAATCGAATAATTGCCGGGGGAAAACCCTAAAAACAGCCCTTTAATTTTCCACATACAAACGTTTTCTAACTAAAACGTAGAATTAATTCGAACTTTATTGCTATTATATAAAATTCATATTAAATTACAAGCACTCACTGTATACTCCTCCTAAATGATTATTCGAATTCTGATAAATCTTTCTGAAGTTTGATAAGGAAATTTTCTAGGATGTATGTGATTATAAAGTACTGGGATGTATATGTAATATTGTAGAAATAATAGCATCTTTTACTAATCTTACCACAATGTTTTTAAAATTTGTAAATAATTCACTTTATACCAACAAATGACAAAGTAAAGATGAATACATACATTTCGGCCTTTACGATATCGATTAGGAGAAGTTTAAGATGCAATTTTGGATATCTTAAATAATAAAAAATTAAATTAATTTAATCCAACATGAAGTACGAGTGTTATGTTATGGTTATGATTATGTTATACTGTTTAAAAGACTTCATTTTCCAATATAGTGTGAGAATTGAGACTTATCATTTTATTTAAAGCACTTCTACATTTACCATCGCTCTTATTATAAATGTATATGCATTTTGGCATAAAGAATAATTTAAAATAACAATAATTATTATTTTTAGGTAAACGGTAAATACTAGTATATTATATTAAAAAATTGCAGACCTGAGTACAGGACAAAGTCTGTCGGGTCATCTAATGTGTAATATTTATAATCTTGATTTAGAATAAGGCCTATTTCTGTTTGACAAAATGTTTGTAGATTATTTACATACTGTACCGAAACATTGAGGGAATAATGAATGATTTTGCGACATAAGTTCAAAAAAAAAATTATATGGATTCGCAATGTGCATGTAAAACCTAAGCATAAATTACGAAAGAAAAATGATTATTAATAAATATAAACGTTGATATAAGCGAATTGTAAAAATATAATCAAGTAAAAATGAATTTTCAAAAAACTTTAAAATTAAATCCTCTTTCCCTAGTGTTACGTATTTCACGTCATCTTTCAGAAATGAGAACTTCAAGTATAAATAATGTACTTCGTAAAAATATTCAGCATGTCATTTTTTACTACATTAACCAGTTGACAAAAATGCCCGTCATAAAGATTGACAGAATTTTCTATATTGACGAGTTTACTCGTCATGCATATCAAATTTGATCCATTGGTTATTTACATTTCAATTTTTTGAAAATAAAAAAATAAAATATTTTCTTAAACTCTAGATATTTGGGAGATTTTTAGGCTATGCCGGTATGAAATTGATTTTTATTAGTGGCATGTGACCACAAAAACAACATTTTACCTCGATTCAGGCAAATCAAAACTGGGAGAAAAATTTCCATGAATGAGTTTACGGTTAAATGGTTAAGAAATTTCTATATAGGGATGTGCCCTTATTGGACCTTATCAATATGACAGCAAACACAAATTTTTTGGTAATTTGAGATTTGAATATTTATAGGAGAAAGTTGTAAGATGCTCCTGTGGACTAATTAAATATAACAATTTGTATAAGTTTCTCGTTACCAAGGCACTATATATTAACTAAATATCGACATTCGCATAAATAATTAAACTCATCATATATATGTATATTACATAATGTATGTGGCAAATGTATAAAATATGTAATGTAGGCATATGCGAGGAAAGGTCGATCGGCACATATGGACAAACTAATGGGCCAATGGCAATGTTATGCTCATAGACTTTATACTACGTAGTAAAGGGTCCGCCATATAACTTTTTTTTATTGGTAGCGATTTAGAATTTTCTGACAACCATTTAAAAGTTAGACAGCTATTTCACTGAAATTATTTTCGATTATTAACCAGAAGGATTGCACTTTCAAATGGATAAGATTTAGATTGAGAAAATATTCAGTACTTTATATATAGCATTTTCAAAAAAAAAGTTATCTGACGGACCCTATATAAGGTCTATGTCCTTTCTTGTATTTCCTTCTATGTATTTGACGTGCGATCAGTCATCTTGCATATAAAACATAACCTCATGTTTGTGCTATAAATGTGCATTAGGAAGATGCATTTATGATAACTACATTTTCTAGATTAGCTTCTATATACAAAACGCCTGACTGTGTTACGCTTAATTCGACCAGAGGATTGGCCCCTAAATTTCGAGTTACTAGCAAAAAATTATGCTTTTCCCAATATATATATATATATATATAATATGATAGTACGGATGCAAAACAGTTGTCCTAATCAATTTCTCGTCCGATTCTAAAGTCAAAAACAAATTCCGCCCACTCTGCGATAAATGATAACGAGGTAGACGTTAGGAGTTAGATGATTTGCGGTCTGATCCGGAATTATTGCCATAGCGCATGTATGGAAGTTTGCTCGGCGTAATCACTTATGTGTAAACTATGTAGTTCGCGTAAGCATTAGCGTAGTCGCTGATGCATAATTCCGGTTCGCCGACTTCTGCTACATCGAGTTCTGGAAACTGGAAATAATTTTCTGTCAACATCTGTACCTATTGTACTCGCCAAAGAGAGACGACAGCTTAACGCATGAAGAATTTCGAAACATTCCGACGGCGACGAAACGAGGAAGGGAAAACTTCTTAAACGCTTATGGCTGTTTGATGTTTGAAAATATGTATCGAGATTGAACCAAAAGTTACAAATTCAAGTTTTAGCTTTGAAACAAGTGATGAAAGAAATATAAATTAAAATTATTGGGTTGTTAGGCAAATTACTTTATTTTTACTTGATACAATTGTTTCGAAATTTTTGGAACCTGATATATTTAACCATTGGACCTGATTTATTATGAATTTAGAGATGTTTTTGGTAAGATTTGTGCGTGTAAAAATGTCAAAATGAACTTTGCTTTCATTATAATTATATGAAGTCAATCAAATTTTCGTAATATTTTATTATTATATAAGTTTAACATTTAGTTCATTAACGAGAAACTCAAGTTGAAACAAATTAGCTCCAATTTAGATTTTTTGTTAATGTTTGAAAAGTCATAGCATCCTTAATCTAAATTGGACCTATTTTGAGTCACAACTAATTTACTTTAGCTAGATTTTTTTTAAAGTTAATCATTTTCCTAAATATAGATTTTTTTAATATCACACGTGAGCAGTGTAATATAATTCTTGTATATGTATGAAGCTACCAATAAAGCAAATTTTGTATATATGGTTATATCCAATAAAATCTTGGGTTCGTTTTCAATATAAGTAGAGTTTTCATTAAACATTGCGTCAGTACCAGAACAGGTTTGAGTAAATATCTAGAGTTATTTATTTTGATGTTCTTAGATGCCCTACATTGAGATTTGCTGAAGGTAATTAATTTACTGTAAAAACACAACTTATTGCTTACCAACGGATATCAGATTGAATTTAACATAATTACCACACGAAACAATATAAGCCATCAGTTAGAGTAAGATTTTTTACTCTAATTAAAATACATTGAAAACATAGTAATATTAAATGCTTTTATACACAATTACTCTATTATCAACTTTAGTTAAATTTAATTTTATCACAAAGCATTATAACAAAATATTTATTTCAGAACTAAAATTATGGATTCAATTGTTTACAATTTCAATCAACCCATATTAATAATAAATAATAATTTTCACAATAATTGCCACTTTCAGCACATAAAAACCTATTTGCCTTAAATTGTTTGATGATAAAATATATATCAGTTCTTGAATTTACAATAACAACTTTAACCATTTCATTAGGAATGTCGTCCATAGATGACATCGACTCGACTACCTGTAGATACAAATGTCGTCCATGGACGACATCCGCATTTCGAACTATGTGTACGAATGTCGTCCATGGACGACTTGTTTTGTGCCGGTCTTTGTTCAAGATTTATGTGTTATACTATTGGTAATTCTAATTTTTAGTTTATAAGAAGCGCAATTTAACCCTTTCACTACAAAATATGTCACAAGTAAAATAGTTTAGTGAGAATATTTATCAAACAAACAAGTAAAACGTTTTTTAAATTGTTGAAATCGGATGCTCCGTTCTCTCAAAACATCAATTACCATTTTGGTACTTTTAGGCCCATATTTTCGAAACAAGTGGACCTGCCTTTGTCAAAAACTAACCAGTACGTCTCCTTATCAATACCAATCGAATATTTTTTTGAAATATTCAAATCGGTTGACCCGTGTTCCCAAAATCGTCGACGAAAATTTGTATCCGCACACGCACACACATTCTCTTTCTAAAGTATGCTAAAATGTTCAGAAGACCTTAAACGTAGAGATGTGCAAAAATTTCAATTTTCGATTTTTTTGCGATTACTACAACTTAGCCTACAGGAAGTTAAAAATAAATAAAATAATTAAAATTACTTACAGATATCTCCAAATCATTGTTTATATCTGGATCATCTTCACTGAAGACTGAAAAATAAAAAATTATGTAAGGTTATGCTTGTTACTAATAATAAAAAAATATGTTGTTCGTACTTTTAATACCCTTAATAAAAATATTATGTTGTTCTTGTTAGAATTGTTATGTATATCCAATAAGAAAGATACTAAAAATATTCTAAATTATTTAACAAAATAATTTACGAATATTTCAATTTCTGAAGGTAAAAAATAATGTATTTTCACTAACACATTGATTTCAGTTGACATACAAGTTCTTCTTCAGTCCTCTTAATAAAAATATTATGTTGTTCATGTTAGAATTGTTATGTATATCCAATAAGAAAAATACTTAAATAACTTTATTACGAACAATTTAATCAAACTTTGATTTTAAATGTAGAAAATAAATATAAATATTTTTACTAACACATTGGTTTCAGTTGGCATACTAGTTCTTCTTTAGTCCATTCCTTGCGATCTCCCCATAATGCTATACTAGGTGCTATAACTGCCATTTTATTGTCATCAGGATATGGGACATTCAGATAATGAACCAGCACAATATCTGGATTCTATAAATGTATAAATAAAATAAAACAAATTTATTTACTTTATCAATTTCAGTTATTAAATCATCTATTACCTGGAGAAGCCAGTAACACCTGCGATGAAAAGTGGGCAGTATCGCGGAGTGAACGTAGCATCCATAAATGCACTGAAAATAAAAGTTGAACGTTACACCTGAGGGAATAAAAGTTGTCGGTAAACGAACATTCTCATTAAAGTTGTGTAAATATTCAATAAAACTTTCAAACACGTTCTGAAATCATTCGATTTTCCCATTAAGAGAAGTACCTATACGCGGGCACTCGACAACTTTGCTTCAATTTTTCTAATGTAGGAAAACTTTGCAGAAATACAACTTCGGAAATATATAAAAATTATTTGATGTGAGTCATAAAGTATTTAATGGCCTATAATGATGTACACTGAAAATGAAAATATATTTGAAAATGAAAAAATATATGGCCACAAATCTAATATTTGTAATAGGCAGATAGTATGTAAATGCATTTGATTTTTTTTAAGGTTTTTACTCACTTCGGTACCCTGAACTTTCAATTTCATATGATCTTCCCTTGTAGTTTTTCCATCTTTCCGTTTTTTCCAGCAATAACCGTCCCTCCGATAGCGCACCTTTTTCCGACTGTATAGAAGCATTGAACCACTTTTCGGTCTGCAAATAAAAATTATATTATATTATGTATATATATATATATATATATATATATATATATTAGGGTGGTCCTTAATATGGACATTTTCGAATTTCCTTGCTCCCAAGAGCTCAAATGGTTCCAAATTGATAAAAAACAATTCTCTGAAAGTTTTAGCTCTTAATATTATCTTTTAGATAAAGCGCAATTCAATAAAAGTTTTGTATGAAAATAGCCTGAAAAAAATTTCAAAAGTTTTGCAGTGCGTCGAATTTTCAATAAAAAATGACACAAATATTCACTTTTAATTCATTTGTCGCTAAGTTATACCTAATTTTTTTTTTAATTTTCAAAAAAAAAATCCATGCTATTTCCATACAAAGTTTGATTGAATTACGCACTATCTAAAAGTTAATATTAAGGGCTAAAACTTTCAAAAAATTATAATAACAAAGATTATACGTAATGAGAAACAGATAAAATTTATCTTCCCAGATCATTCTGGAATTTACTATCACTTGCGCTTTTTGACAAATTCAAAATTTTAATACTTAAACCAACTCAAACGATTTGTCCATTACTATTATATAGGAGTTTTGTGATTTATTTTATGTTAATAAAATATAAAACAACAATCTGCTTTGATAGCACCTTTCGAGCAGAAAACATCTTTCAAAATTTAGTTCATATATCATATTTTAAAATTTATTTACTAGACTTCTGCAAATATCGATGTGATTCTAAATAATTTATATAAATTTTATATAACTAAAGTAAATATAAATTATTATGTAGATGTGTTGACACAATATTCAATAAAATAACAGGGAAAAATGACAATTTCTTCGAAATATATTGATATAGGTAATATAGTATATAAAACCTATTGGCCTTAAATTGTTCGATAATAAAATATAAATCAATTCTGAAATTTACAATAACAACTTTAATCCTTTCGCTACAATTGTCGTCCATGAACGATATCCGCATTACGTTCTTTGTGTACGAATGTCGTCCATAGACGTCATATACTGTGTGGGTCTTTACTTCAAAAATTATCACTCCAGATATAAACTTGCATAAATATTTTATTGATTCATATAAAGTTTGACTTTACTCTTAATATAGTAATGACCATTAACAAATTTATAATAGCGGAATCCTAAGCAATTAATAAGAATAATTTTGACATATAAATAGTAAAAATGCCGAAGTGGATGAAGTTATTATCATATTTTTTTGAACCAAAAATAATTTAATGGGTTACTTGAATTAATTTCAATTAGTTAAAGCGTGCTTTTTTAACATATATGTAGTATATAATATTATGATTTAACATAGTATATGCAAAACAAAAATTTAGAAAGGAGCGTAGTCAAATTTCGACAATAATTTAGAACCAAACATAAGATTAGGCATATTTTTTTTCCAATATTCAACTAATAGATTATTAATTAATTTATACTTAGATGTCCAAACTAAAATAAACAAGGATATTAAACAAGGTTTACCTTATTTTTACTTCTTTTGATTGCCATTCTGTATGTCTATCAAAGCTTATTAGAACTGCAGCAATTTCCTGTAACAATTGAAATAAAAATATATTTAGCAATTCATGATGTGATTTATAGAATAATTGATGAAGAAAAGAGCAAAAATATAGGCTAGAGAGATAGGGGGCACAACGGTCCAATTTGATTTTGAGTATAATTGATAGAGAATGGAGCAAAAACATTGGGTAAAGGATAGGGGGCACAAAGGTCCAATTTCTTGCTGTATGAACCAAATGAATTATATAATTCATTACATATACCACAAAAAATATAATATATTCAAAATAAAAATGCTCTCAACTTAATAGAATACTTTTGTTACGAACGTTGATACAAGGTCATTTATATCCTGATGCCGTAAAGATTAATATGCTAAGTTGTTTCACATGATTTACCTTCTACTTTAAAATAGTAATTCTATACTTCAGTTCCTTTTGAGATATCGTGTGGACTTTTTTCCCCGCAAATCTTTAAACCCTACTCTACCTTACGTTTTCTGAACAAAACAGTAAATTAAATAGAAATATTATTATATATATCAAGGATTTAGTCAAGGAGACTACGAGATAACTAGTTTTACTTATGGATACATGATTTAGTCTAACAAAAGTATCAATATCTAAATCTACATCCATATTTAATTTCCTCTTACTATAACACTTTTCAAATGATCAGATTATGATTTGATCTCGTCGGCAACAAAAATCAAATTTCGCTTATAAGCCCTGCGTTTCGTGCTAAGTGCCATCGTATCAGAAGGCATCAAAGCTATCAGCCAAAAATTGCCATAACCGTTACCTAAACGATGTAACGACCGGATCCGGCAATAGTATGCAGGAAACTTTTTCAATATCGGAAGCATTTAACTGAAGGGTTTTAGTCTTTGGATGAATTCTGATTTGTATTCAAAAGATGCTTCCTTGTTTGAATGTGCGATTTGTATTATATTCGCATATATGTTTCTGGAACACATCAGCGAACGCACGATAATTTTCGTATGTTCGAATTATGTTATCAAATGATCAGAGTAAGCTTTGCTGATGTCGCGGTTACGTGCTGGGAATAGATACTTGATGAGCTTCAAGGTGGAATAGATATTCAAATTTTATTATTATTATATTTATATTTATAGATAGAAGTAATAAAATCTAATTTTTAGTATTAATATATCTTATATAGAAAATTCTTCTGAACACATGTATGAACTGAAACCCCTCATACATGGTTATTCGAATTTTGATAAATCTTTTTGAAGTTTGTTAAGGGTAGTTTTAAGGATTTAAATGATTATAAAAATAAAATAATATTGTAGATTTTGTTTAACTCTGTCTTATTTAGCAATCAGAAATACATAAAGATTCCTATGAGCTAAATTGACAATATTTAAGAGCGATACCTGAGAAGAACTCCAATGAGATCTTCTCAGTTTAAAAATTAATATGATAATATTACATTAGACCTAATCTAAGACTAAGTCTAAAGGCCATTGTCGTTTCAATCTCCTTATGCCAAAAGGTTGAGTAATGTCAACTATTGATGGGTTCGAATGTGAGTCCAGTTTGCGTTTGTATTTTTCCTTGAATACTTTGAACGTTAATTGCACCGTTTTCATGTTGAGGTCCCTGTGAAAGGTTTCATTTGTCACGTACCACGGAGAATTAAGAATTGTACGTAAAATTTTTGAATGAGTTCTCTGCATTATAGCTATATTTGATTTGTAAGCACATTCCCGGAGCTCAATTCCGTAGGTCTAGATCGGTTTAATGATTGATTTATATAGCAGCAACTTATTTTCAACAGAGAGCTTGGACTTTTTACGCAGTAGCCTATCAAATTCTTTCATTTTGATCATTATTTGCTGCTATTTTGTTTTTATGTGGCTTTTCCAAGTAAGTCTGCTGTCTAAATGAAGACCAAGATATTTTAATATGTTATGTTTCGGAATCTAGACGTTATTTAAATATTGTAGAAATGAATGAAAAGGATTGCAAAAAACAACATATCATTGTTTGACATTGAAATCATTTTGACAGTACTGCCATCAGCCAGAAATGTCATTTCACTTGAAATTTGAATAATGAATTTGAATTTGAATTTGAACATTATTAGAATATAATATAACGTGATTATAAATGATTATAAATAAGAAAATTGCCAAAAAGCAGCTGAACATATAAGAAAAATAAAATAATAAAATATATAGTTTATGCTTGGTAGATGAAATTATATAATTTAGTGTGACAGATTAATTTTTTTTAACTTATGCATGTCATATTTTGCTTTACTATACTAAATTATAGCAGAATACAAATAAAAATTTCTCATTCAAAAAATTATTTAGAAGTTTCATTATGGAATATTTAGTTGATCGTAGATTGAATAATGTACATATGAAGAGGATTTGACAAATTAATTAACTTAAAACATGATCTTAAGTAATAATGTATATGAGTTATTTGTGAGAAAAATGTAATTAAGATATTATAATTACTAAAAAATAATTGAAATATGGTACGAAATTTTAAAAATAATAGCATTAATGAAGCAATTATTTTCAGTGAAAAAATCCAAGGTGTAATGATGTACTTTCACCGCGGATATTATAACAATATAATTCTTTCTGGATTTGTTATATTGTTCAAAAGTGCAATTTCCAAAACGTTTATCTTGTGTTATGGCCATAAATAAATCACAAAAGCAGACGATGAATTTTTGTAGGATAAATTTGAAACATCAATGTTTTAGTCCTGGAGGATATCTACAGTTATAATAAATTGAGCTATTAGAAATAAATTTGTTCTAAAAATTCGCCTTTTATGTGGCTGATTTGGATTTCTCGGTATTATTAAAGAGTTAAGTGTGGGAATTCAGACTTATCATTTTATTTAAAGCAGTTCTCCATTTAACATCACTCAAATTGATGTTATATTTCAGTATACATAGTATTTTAAAAACTATAATTATTATTTTTAACTAACCGGTAAATATTATTATAAGATATTAAAAAACTTTTGAATTGTAGACGTGGATTCAGGACAACATCTGTCTTAGCTCAAAGACAATCCAGGTCTTAGCTCTTGAATATATATATATATATATATATATATATATATATATATATATATATATATATATATTATTATAAGTGACTATTTTGATATTAGTTGACCCAAATATAAAAAACATACACCCGACAAGACAAAATACAAAGATCATTCCCCATAATGATGACGACCTCTAAGAATAATCGCCAGCCAAGTTTGCGGTCCTCTATATCACGTAGATTAACCTAAAATAATTATTTGCGAGTATAATTAATAAATGTCACATTCGGACGGTCGGTCCCACCCTCCTGGACTAATAATGTCATAGGCAGTGCGGTGTGGCGGCGGACAGGTACTATAACAATTTTTAATTATCCCGCCAGGAACAGGGTGGTCACGTACCATTACATGGGTTCAAGGTGTACATGAAATATCACTCCATTTATAGAGAGCAAACTAACAGACTAAAGAAAAAATGTAATTTGCTGTAAAATGTTGTAGAACAATGGCATTTATGAAGGAAGGATTATATTTTTCTTTCGTTTTTTTAGAGGTTGGACGTCACAAAATGCATGTTGAGTGATTCTTCAATATGGATAGGAAATGGAAATCTGCCCAAAAAATTTAAAAATATTTTGGATTTGAATTAAATGAACTCATAGAAAGATTCATCATATTACAAATTGTTTATATACATATGTATATAAAAATAAGTCGGGTTTTCCTTCCTGACGATATAACTCCAGAACGCACGAACCGATTTCGGCAGTTTTGCATTCGTTAGAAAGGTCTCGGGCTCCGCAAGGTTTATAGCTAAGAAAATTAGTGGTGCATGGCATCGTGTCTCAATGCAAATTTCTGGAACTTCACGCACCGTAATTAAAAATTCGAGTAATGACATTAGTGAGAATTATAAGAATTATGCTTGGTTAAGTTAACGAGCAATTCTTGCCGCAAAAAATAATGATGTACACGCACTGAATTTCACCATTCAATCAAAAAATGCTGGCGATTTGGTGACATACCAATGATTCCGACTGATCTTCCGTTTGATATCAAACGATTGCAATTTCCAGTTCGCAATGACAATTAACATGTCGCAAGGCCAATCGCTTAGTGTTTGCGAGATAAATTTGAAATAGATTATTTAGAAAATCATTGTTTTTCACATGGGCAGTTATACGTTGCCTGTTCACGAGTTGGAAAACCATCGGCTTTGTTTGTGTTAACGTCTGACCAAAAAACAAAAAATGTGGTTTACCAACGAGCACTTCAATGAAACGGATAATTTGCGGACTCACTTTCATTTACTTAGAGAAGTTCAACTAAAAAACACTTCATTTTTGTAATCGAAATAAATTCATTCATTCATTACTGCTGTGTAATAAAATCAAATTTTTCCTTTTCAAATATAAAACAAAAAAAATTTCTTCATCTTTCTCACGAAACCATCTGGTGGCGAAACGGAGTTAGTCGGGTTTCCTAGTTAACTAATAACTAAAACTTAACATTTCTATTATATTTAATTTTCAAGTTATTTAGTTCATAGATGTGTCTTAGATAATGTTGATTTTTAAATAAATTAGAATCAATTTAATAAACATTATAAGACTCAACAATTGCCCTGTCTTAGTAATAATAATTTCTTGTGTCATCCACTGGTGATGGCAAATAAAGAGCACCATGGCATTAAAGTAACCCAAAGCCAACCCATTTCCATCCATTTTAAGCAACGCGTGACAAAACCGAGTCAAGTAGGGCGATATAATTGCCCAAAGCTAATAATAATTTGGCAAAATGATCGTGCTCTGTATTTCATCTTGGAGAGTGTTTCACAAAGTTGACTTTGAATAATGTGCATGGCAGACAGAGATAGTTATTACGACCAAAAATGGACGATGAACAAAATGATAAATTTGTTTTCTGAATCAAGCAATAATCATTATAAAAAATTTGTTCAGCGTTTTAACCGAAGATATGAT